TTATCTAATCAAATTAACCAAAATGTTATTTTCAGGTTGAAAGGGCAGACTGATGACTTTAAGGGGACACTGTTGAAAGTAAAATAAACACACGTTAATTAAAATTTAATGACCAGCAATAATTATCTAATTAAATTAACCAAAACGTTATTTTCAGGTTGAAAGAGCAGACTGATGACTGTAAGGGGACATTGTTGAAAGGGCAGACTGACGACTTTAAGGGGACATTGTTGAAAGGGCAGACTGTTGACCTTAATGGGACTGTTGACTTTAAGGGGACATTGTTGAAAGGGCAGACTGATGACTTTAAGGGAACATTGTTGAAAGGGCAGACTGATGACTTTAAGGGGACATGTTATTAATATTCACTATTATGGACAAACGTTGTGTTAGAGATTTAACTCCTTTAAAAATGTCTGACCTAAGTAAGGCCAACAGTCTGGAAGTATTGATTAATTAAAGAAATATTTTTAAAACTTTATGTGAATGAAATACTATCAGTGAACTGCAGACCGTAAACACGTCAATTATTGATTCCTGGCAAATGCAAGAATCAATAAAATTCCGAAAAACAAATCTATTTCAGACCATCTTAAGCATGAATATTTTACTCATGGAACTAAAAATAAGAACTCAGTAGACAGATGTTTGTCAAAGCGATACAACTGAGTGCTGTTATGTCGAAAACAAAACAATAAGAAATCTAAATAGCATTAAAAATCTATTCTGAGATTCAAGTCATCACTCTTGTAAATAGCTATCAAAACAATGGCTGGGTCTCTTAATAACAGATTTTAAAGATCTACTGAGATGCAGTAAATTAAAGGAGGGGAGTGAGAGAGAGAGAGAGAGAGAGAGAGATAGAGAAAGAGAGAGAGAGAGAGAGAGAGCAACAACCTTATTTCTGGATTAACAGACATGGTTCAATTTTATTCCAATAATTCGCTTGTGTGTAGAGGTCTTTAGCAGTGAGAGGGAACCGGAGTACTCAGAGAAAACCCCACGAGGCTGTAAGAGGCTGTACCTTACTCCTTGTCACATGCCTGTCCTCATGGGATTCGTCCAGGTTTCCTCCCAATGCTAAAGACCACTATATGCTTGCCAATTAGCTAAATTAGATTGTACCATAATAAGTTATACCAAATTAAATTGAATTGATGAGTGAATGTTAAAATCTCTCTCTCTCAGAAACCAGAAACATGAAGGAAATTATTGTATAAATTAAGAGCCACTAGAAGATAATATAATGTTTACACTATATCTATATATGGTAATAAACCCATCCATAAACAATGTCAATATCCCATGACAACCTCAAGGCTATTGAACTCAGGGTAAACTGATTTCATGTTGACAGCCATCAATCAGTTTGTTTACTGTTTAATGATAAGAGATGAGATTGTGATGATCCACATTACTGTGATGTTCTGTTATATTGACATGACTTAATTACACACTCTGACTTTAATAGTTAACTTATTTAATAGTTACTGTAGCTAGCCATAATACACAACAGGGCACCATTTTATAAAACATGCTGGCAAAAATACGCAACAGGGGACTGTTTTATAAAGGCAGTGGCTATTGTTACGAGTCGTAAAAATAGTCCTCAGACTATTGTTACGACGATGCTTTCACAGCCCTCCATCGGTGAAGTTAAAAACTGAATAGTCGTAAATAATAGTACTAACCCTAACCCTTCCCATCTCTTAATTGCTGCCTTCAGTTCTGAAAACGTTGAAAATACTGCTCCTTTTTCAAAGCTGGTGTAGGGGAGATTGGCAGCCATTTTGGAATTCGTTCTAAACTTGGCTCAAACTCGTTGTAACAATAGCCACTTTGTTTTATAAAACCTGCTGGCCAAAATACAGAGTGAGAGGGAGAAATGGGGTTTAACTTCCACTCGACACAAATTAGGTCATTTCGGGACTAACATATGGTTTAATTTTATTTAAATAATTTGCTTGCGCGTAGGGGTCTTTAGCAGTGGGAGGAAACAGGAGGACCTGGAGAAAACCCATGAGGTTGGACAGGTGACCCGACCCTACTCCTTGTCACCTACAACCAGAGATTCAAAACCACGCCAGTTGACTCAATGACAGGCCTTATATGATACAGCGCGCACATGCTAACCATACGGCCATCCAACCCCCCGGCCAAAATACATAACAGAGGACCGTTTTATAAACCTACCTATAGTTAAAACATAAAAGATGGGAGTCGAAACCACGCCACTTGACTCAATGACAGACAGAAAGAGAGATTAATGGGGGTTTAACATCCACTCAACACAAACTAGGTCATTTCAATTTTATTTCAATAATTCACTGGCGCGAAGGAGTCTTTAGTAGTGGGAGAAAACCGGAGGACTCAGAGAAACCCCACAGGTTGGACAGGCGACCCTGCTCATTGTCACTTTGAAACAATGACAGACCTTATGATACAGTGCACATGTCCTAACCATTCGCCCATTCACCCCCCCCCCACCCCCGCATCAATGACAGTCCTTTAATCATCAAATAAATTAATAAAGGCACAACAAGCCAGATCATTCATGAAACTCAAAAGTACAAAATACAAACTATTCTTTTTTATACAATATTTTTGTTTCAGGATATCTGAATGTGATCAGGAAACAGGCTGACATTTTGTACCTTGTGGCAGACATGTTTGTTAAAATATTAATAAAAATAAAATGAAATGAAATGGGGTTTTACGTCCTACTGTTCTGCTCTGACAGGGCAATCGCCATACTGTGTGCTATTAGGGAAATTTTGCATTACGACCTACTCTTACATCGAATTCCCACTGCCAAGGGATCTTTTATGTGCACTCCAATGTGCACAAATGCACCACCGACGAGGTTGAACCACGTCGGAAAATCATGATGAACTTTCTCAGCCAACGAAAGGATCGAACTACGGTTAACGAGCTATCATCTTATCCACTGAACCACTGTGGCTCCCCTCACTTTAAAAGCCTGAAGACTTCATGAAAGTGATCTGTGTATGACAGGCGACATATGAATTGTATAGCTAACATTGACAGTGACAGCTTGCTTAGCTCTAATAAACATATATCAGCCGATTGCCTTCTTGTTAGGTTGATAATGATAATAATAAACACTCAGACTCCCCCAGGTCCCTTCATTTGATCTGATATTTGTTGTTTATTTCTTGCAATGTCTTGTCCATAGGGTCTTGTCTTGTCGGTTTTGTTTTGCATACAGTGCTGTTTTCTTGCAACTGCTAATATATTCTTAAAGATAACTACCAGAAAAGCTGGTTCATTTATTTCTTATGAACATGACAATTAAGGTGACTTATGGCTAAAACAGATCAGTAAACCAGAGAATGTTACCTAATCATAAACTAATTTTATATGTACGTTAATAAGAACAACAGCATTTAAAAAATCACAATTAGTCAGTCATTATAGAGAGAGAGAGAGAGAGAGAGAGAGAGAGAGAGAGAGAGATTTAACCTCCACTCAGCACAAACTAGGTCATTTTGGGACCAATATATGGTTCAATTTTATTTCAATAATTTGTTTGCACGTAAGGGCCTTCAGCAGTGGGAGGAAACCGGAGGACCCGGAGAAAACTCACAAGGTTGGACAGGTGACCCTACTCCTTGTCATGTACAAGCGGTGAATCGAAACCGCGCGACTTGACTCAATGATAGACCTTCTGATCCAATGTGGACATGTTAACAATTCGACCACCCAACCCCCACCCCCCATTAGAATATGAAGATGTATAGGCAGCCACTGGTTTATTCACAGGTCTAAAGTAGTGGGCTATTGGAAATAGAAAATTCATATTGAGTAAAACGTTGTATGTAATCCTGCATTGACTAACACCAATCAGTTCTGTTCGTAGATTCTAGAGCTCCCTCCCCCACCACTAATTAAATTATCCACACTATTTACTATTTTAATCTAAGTAATACATAAATCAATTTTAATCTTCAGGATTTCGAAACCGAACAAATTTAAAGAATCTTTCAACAATTACAACTGTGAAAGAGTCATTGTCATACTCTGAACTAAACCTGACAGACCACCACTTGGTACATGAACCTAATCAGTGGACTGTCTGCTGATGTTTTGGAAACAATCCCATCAGACTAAAATTGTTTCTACAAACATTTAGGACTGGAATAGAATGTAATGAAATACAAATTTTGCTCAGACAGTGGCATCTTTCTTCCAACTCATCTTCGGAAATGAAATGGGGGTTTAATTAACGCCCAACTGTTCTGCTCTGACTGAGCTAAATGAAGACAGGCATACGCCATACAGTGTGCCTTGAGGGAAATTTTGCCTGGACAGCGGCACTACAGCCTACATTTTTATCAAATTCCAACTGCCAGGGGATCTTTTATGTGCACACTAATGTGTACACGGGACCTCAGTTTTTCCCCTCTAATGATTAGACAACTATCCTTGTCAGGCCTTCCGTCCTGCATCACTGACAAGGGGAACTTTCTCTGCCAACATCGGGATCAAAATCTTGACCTCCAGGCTAGCGTCGCCAGCGTCTTACTCACTTAGTCACTGAGGCTTCACTTATCTTCCGAATTCAGGCACCAAGGGATTTTTCAATTTGTGCACAGCATCTTGGTTTATCATTCTATTCTAATGATACACAGGCACTACGCCTAAGTGGATACATTCATAGTTCAAGTGGAGACAATGACCCTTTAAGTAATAACATCCTAATTAATTACATAATTAATAACATAATTAATTACATAATTAATAACATAATTAATATCATAATTAATCACATAATTAATATCATAATTAATTACATAATTAATATCATATTTAATTACATAATTAACATCACAATCATAATTAATTACATCATTAATTACATAATTAACACCACAATTAATTACATAATTAACATCACAATCATAATTAATTACATTATTAATTACATAATTACATATACAGACAAAAACATATATAAACAAAATAAAATAAAGGCTTACCAGAACAACTTCTGACAGCATCTTCAGCAAACGCCCACTCTCCCAAAAACTTTGGCCACGTGTGCCTGGATTTCAGAGTTATTCCAACGTAAAGTTCTGATAAGGGTGAGGGAGGCGCATATCGTGCCTCCTTGGCAGCTCTCTCCTCCTCTTCCACCTTTTCAACTATGGTGGCAAACATCGGTGGGTACGATACTCGACGGCGTTTTTTACCCCTTGATCCTCCTTTCTTGGGTTTTTCTGAAAATGAAAAGAAAATTCAATAAGCGGGGTGTAAGAGAGATAAATGGGGTCATTTCAGGAGTACGATTCTCGACAGCATTTTTTACTCCTTGATCCTCCTTAAAAGGGTTGGTCATGCAGCTGACAGGGGTTTGGGTGGCCCAAATGGTTTAATGTGCTCAGGTTTTCTATTATTAAAGCGAGTAGATGACAGACAATATTGGTTTAACCTGTGATATTGGATGTCGTCCATGACTGACAAGATGGTCACTCCAGGTTTCCATATGTCTGATCCTTGCTTAAAAGACAGGGGTTTGGGGTGCTGAATGGTTTAATGGGTTCAGGTTTCCTTGCATAAATTCTATTAGATGACAGACAGTATTGGTTTAATCTTTGATATTGGATTTCGTCCATGACTGACAGGATGGTCCTTTAGAATAACTCCAGGTTTCCGAATGTCTGATCCTAGCTTAAATTGATGTTTATATCCAACTGATTTGATTTAAAGAGATTCAGTTATTTGTCATTCAGTCAATGACATTTGACCCCAAAACATCACTTGATGACATTGTTGTTCTTGCTGTATAAATCTTGAGTGGCATTTAGTGATTGCGCACATTAAAAAACACAACACAATTTATATGGAAAACAATCACTGGTTTATACACACATATAGCACGACGTTTCGACAAGTATTCTCTTATTGTTATCAAGTTATCAATACTTGTCGAAACGTCGTGGTATATGGAAAACAATTGTCTTTTTTTTTTATGTTCTTGCGTAGTTTCTGTCTTTTGGTCTTTTACTTGAATCGATGTCAAATCAGTAAAGGAAATGAAATGAAATAGGATTTAACGTCCTACTGTTCTGCTCATATACTGGGCTAATGAAGACGGGCATATGCCATACAGTGCGCTATGAGGGAAATTTTGCCCAGGCAGCGGCACTATCGCCTACTCTTATATCGAATTCCAACTGCCAAGGGATCTTTTACGGGCATTCCAATGTATACTACTTACACAGAAATTTCTTTCACAAGATTAAATAATACCTAGGTTACAGTGTTGATTAAATCAGTTTAAGTCAGGTGTGTTTGTTTATTAGTTCAAAAAAATGCAAAATGAATATATTGAAAATTTCATTCAAATTATGGGAGGCATGGCGGCTTAGTTGGTAAGACGCTGGCTCGCTAGCCTGGAGGTCATGTGTTCGATCCCTGCATTGGCCGAGAAAGTTCATCCAGAATTTCCAATGTGGTTTCTATTTTCAGTGGTGCAGAACGGAGGGTCTGACAAGGACAGCTGTCTAGTCGTTGGGATGGGACAAAAAAAAAAACGAGGTCCCGTGTATACATTGGCATTCACATAAAAAATCGATTGGCTGTTGGAATTCGATATAAGAGTAGGCCATAGTGCCGCTGCCCGGGCAAAATTTCACTCATGGCACACTATATGGCATATGTCCATCTTCAATTCATTACCCCAGTATAGGATCAGAACAGTAGGACAGTAAACCCCTTTTCATTTCATTTCATTCAAATTACTTTATTCTGAGTCAAGTTATCACTGTTTTTTAGTTTTGATAAGATGTGTGCACTGATTGTAACAACCATACTGGATGTTTAAAATCATGTAGAGAAAATGAGCAGAACGTCACAGTAAGTGACAGAGAGAGAAAAATGGGGTTTAACGTCCTCTCAACACAAACCAGGTCATTTCGGGACTAACATATGGTTTAATTTTATTTCAATTATTCGCTTGTGCATAGGGGTCTTTAGCAGTGGGAGGAATCAGGAGGACCCGGAGAAAACCCTACTCCTTGTCACGTACAACCGGGGATCGAAACCACGATTGTTGACTCAATGACAGGCCGTATGATACAGCGCGCACATGCTAACCATTCGGCCATCCAACCCCCCTCACAGTAACGTGGATCATCACATGTACAATCTCTACAATGGAAAGTTTGACAATGAAAAGTGTCTAGTTGCTTGGATGGGAGAAAAACCAACATTTTATACACAGTTTTTATAAAACGGTCCTGTGTTGTGTATTATGGCCAGGGCCGTATGTAGGATTTTAAAAGTGTGGGTGCAGCAGAGTGGTGGGGGACGCCAATATAATGTGTGTGTGTGTGTGTCCTTCCCCCCCCCCCCCGAAAATTTTGAAAATTAGGCTGCCACAAACGCGTGGCACCCCATAGCCTTCACATAAGTGATATAAGAAAGTTTGGATCAGGGCAAACGAATCAGGTACCTATTGGCGTGTGGGTGCCATTAAAACAGGCCAACTCATCAGTACCTTAAGAGCAGGGGGGTTGGATGGCTGAAGGGTAAGCGTGCGCGCGCTGTATCATAAAGTCTGCCATTGAGTCGACTGGCGTGGTTTCGAATCACTGGTTGTACGTGACAAGGAGTAGGGTCGCCTGTCCAACCTCGTGGGTTTTCTCCGGGTCCTCCCACTGCTAAAGACCCCTACGCGCAAGCGAATTATTGAAATAAAATTAAACCATATGTTAGTCCCGAAATGACCTAGTTTGTGTCGAGTGGACGTTAAACCCCATTTCTCTCTCTCTCTCTCACCTTAAGAGCATTACTGTGTGATCATAATCAAGTGTATTATTTTATAATTGAAAGGTTGTCAATTATTTTGAGGGGGCACAATTTCTCGGGGCGCCTTATTTTTCTGGGGGTGCAATGTGCCCCCTGCACCCCATCTAGATACGGCCCTGATTATGGCCAGCTACAGTAAGTATTAAATAAGTTAACTATTAAAGTCAGAGTGTGTAATTAAGTCATGTCAATATAACAGAACATCACAGTAATGTGGATCATCACAATCTCATCTCTTGTCATTAAACAGTAAACAAACTGATTGATGGCTGTCAACATGAAATCAGTTTACCCTGAGTTCAATAGCCTTGAGGTTGTCATGGGATATTGACATTGTTTATAGATGGGTTTATTACCATATATAGATATAGTGTAAACATTATATTATCCTCTAGTGGCTCTTAGTTTATACAATAATTTCCTTCATGTTTCTGGTTTCTGAGAGAGAGAGAGAGAGAATTTTAATAATTCGCTTGTGCGTAGGAGTCTTTAGCAGTGGGAGGAAACCAGAGGACCCTGAGAAAACCATGATGGTTGGCCAGGCAACCCTACTCTGTGTCATGTACAAGCGGTGAATCGAAACCATGCGACTTGACTCAATGACAGACCTTTAGATCCAACTTACACATGTTAACCATTCGGCCACCCAAACCCCCTCATTAGAGAGAGAGAGAGATTAGGTCTAACTCCATTCAATTTGGGACTAAGATATTTCAATTTTATTTCAATAATTTATTTGTGCATAGGGGTCTTTAGCAGTGGGAGGATACCAGAGAACCTGGAGAAAACCCACGAGGTTAGACAGGCGACTCTATTCCTTGTCACTTACAAGAAGTTTAAAATCCACTCATCATTGGGACTAACATATTATAGTACAATCTAAGTTAAATAACTGGCAAGCACATAGTGGTCTTTAGCAATGGGAGGAAACCGGGATGAATCCCACGAGGGCAGTAACGTGACAAGGAGTAGGGTCACCTGTCTAACCTTGTGAGTTTTCTCTGGGTTCTCCAGTTTCCTCCCGCTGCTAAAGACCCGTACCCGCAAGCGAATTAATGAAATAAAATTGAACCATATGTTAGTCCCGAAATGACCTAGTTTGTGTTGAATGGACCTTAAACCCCATTTCTCTCCATTTAATATTTGGGAGCTCTATATTTCTGACTACAAAATTCTGCTAGCCAATTCCAAGATGTAAATGACTGTCTGGAGGCCTTCCATTATAATGGCTGAAATTGACAGATTTTGTCGATTAGATTGTTTATTTTGCTAAAAAAAACTGGAATACGTTCAATTTCTGATGAATTAATTGAGTTTGATAGTGGTCCTCACTATGCTCAATAATTTGACAGCGTGTGGTGTCTGCTCTTGTGACCAGCACAAACTTGGCATCCTTTGGAATTACCCAGTTTCAACTTTTCTCCATTTAATTTCTCCATTAATATTTATTCGTCTGACACTCTACACCTTTATCATGATTGTGGGGAGAGAGAGAGGGATGGAGAGAGAAGAAGAGGGAGGGAGAGAGGCAGGGGAGAGAGAGAGAGGGAGGAAGGGAGGGAGAGGAGGGAGAGGGAGGGAGGGGAGAGAAACGAAGAAATTATTCATCTGACACTCTACACATTTTATCATGTGGAGAGAGAGAGAGAGAGAAAGAGAGAGAGGGAGATAGAGAGGAAGGGGAGGAAGAGAGAAAGAAGAAATTATTCATCTGACACTCTACACATTTTATCATGTAGAGAGAGGGAGGGAATGAGAGGAGAGAGGGAGAAAGAGAGAGGTGGAGAGAGAGGGAGGTATTTTGCCTGACAATCTACACCTCTTATCATGATGTGGAGGGGGGAGCGAGTGAGAGAAGGAGAGAAAGAAAGAGAGAGAGGGAGGTATTTTACCTGACAATCTACACCTCTTATCATGATGTGGAGGGGGAAGCGAGTGAGAGAAGGAGAGAAAGAAAGAGAGAGAGGGAGGTATTTTGTCTGACACTCTACACCTTTTATCATAATGTGGGGGGAGGGAGGGAGAGAGAGAAGGAGGAAGCAAGAGAGAGAGAGGGGGAAGGGAGAGAGAATTGAAGAAATTATTGGTCTACACCTTTTATCATGTGAAACACCATGGGCCAGTCATTCGGATGAGTCCAACATCGTAGGTTTTCTCTGAGTCCTTCGGTTTCCTTCCACAAAGACCCCTACACGCAAGCAAAACGTTGAAATAACATTGACCCGTATCTCAAACCTACACACAAGCGAATTGTTGAAATAAAATTGAACCATCTCTCTCTCTCTTTCTCTCTCTCTCAAAGCTCAGTACTATCCCCTTAAATTTGTTTACAGTAAAACTCAAAGCTTTAATAACCATTTGGAAGACATTATTTGTTTTCTGAATCCGATAGCATTCCCAATGTTAT